TTCAGCTTCCCTCCCAAGCCGCCGCCGTCCACGCTGGGCGCGTCCAGGCTGACGTCGGGCCCTTCCGCCGAAACGTCCAGATCTCCCTTGATTTTTGGTCCTTTCAGGTTTCCATCGAAATCGGGGCCCGAGATGTGGGGCCCTTTCAGCGTCACGTCGACCCCTCGGAGGTTCACGTCGGCCGAGGGGAGGCTCACGCTTCCTTCCAAGGCCGGGCCCGAGATCCCCACGTTGGCTTCCGGCATTTCCAGCCCCAGTCCCGTTTTCCCCGCCTTGGGCAACTTGAGCTTTCCCTCGGCACCTTCCAGTTCTGCCGCCGGCACGCCGAGCTCGCCCTTGATTTTTGGTCCTTTCGCCTCGAAGTCGCCGTCCGGCACCGGGATCGAGGGAACGGCGACGTCCACGCGGAGACTCGGCCCTTTGACCTCACCGCTTGGCCCCGAAACGTCGAGATCAGGCCCTTTCAGTTCCCCTTCGATTTTCGGGGCCGCCGCCGAAGCGTCCCCTCGGAATCGGTGCGATTTAAGGTCAAACTCAACGTCGGGGAAGGAGATTTTCCCAAACATGGGTTTCTTCCCTTTGGGGGACTTCACCGTGGCGTCACCTTTCACCGTCACGTCCGGACCAGCCACGTTCAGCTCCAGGTCGGGGGATTTCAACGTGGCGTCGAGCTCCCCCCCGGCCCCGTTCACGTCGAACCCCCCTTTCTTGCCTTTAACTTTAGGGCCGCTCATGTGGAGTTTCGGCATCTTGAACTTGCTCTTCTTCCCCTTCCCAGCCGTGTTGACGTCGGGCAACTCCACGTTGAGCTCCGCCTCGGGTAAATCCGCTTCTACCCCCGGCACCTTGATTTCTGCCTTCGGGCTTTTCATCCCGAACCCAAACTTGGACTTTTTGAACTTGGGAAATTTGACATTTGCCTCCGGGCCTTCGACGCTCAGGTCGGGACATTCAACGTCAACTTCGGGGCTTTTGACGCCGAATTCCGGGCCTTTGATGTCCACGTTGGGACCTTTCAGGCTACCTTCCATCTTGGGGGGGGAAACGTCAACGCCTCCCTTGGCTTTGTGGCCTTTCAAATTCAAGTCGATCTCGGGCAGCGAGATTTTGGGAACGTTCGCGTGCGTTTCTGGCGTCTTCAGCTTGGGACCTTTCAGTTTGCCCTCCGGCCCTTCGACGCTCACCTCCGGGACGCCGATATCTACCTTGGGGCCTGAAAGATCGACCTCTGTCTTTGGCAGCTTCACGTCCACCTCGGGACCTTCTCCTTTCAAGCCAAACTTGGGCAGCTTCATTTTGGGCAGCTTCATTTTTCCCTCCAGACCGTCCACATCCACCCCCGGGCCCTCGATATCTACTTTGGGGGCCTTAATAGCGACGTCGGGACCCTTCAGACCTCCCTCGAGCTTCGGGCCCTGAAGGTCAGCGTCACCTTTCAGCTTCAGGCCCTTGAGGTTCAAGTCGATGTCCGGCATGGAGATCTGGGGGGTCTTGACGTGCATTTCGGGCATCTTGATCCTGGGGCCCTTCAGTTTTCCATCGGGCCCTTCGATGTTCACCTCGGGGGCCTGAATGTCCAACTTGGGGCCTTGGAGGTCAACATCTAGACCCTGCAACCCCCCTTCCAGCTTTGGCGCCGACACGTCCGCGTCCCCCTTCAGCTTGGGGCCCTTCAGGTTGAAGTCCACGTCGGGCATGGAGATCTTGGGGGCCTTGATGTGCATCTCGGGCAGCTTGAACTTGGGGCCTTTCAGTTTCCCTTCCGGCCCTTCGATGGTCACGTCGGGAGCCTCGACGTCTATTTTGGGGGCTTTCACATCCAGTTGGGGTCCTTTCAAATCCCCTTCGAGCCTGGGACCGGAAAGATCGACCTCTCCCTTCAGTGAAGGCCCCTTGATGTTGAAGTCGACGTCGGGGATGGAGACCTTGGGAGCCTTGATGTGCATCTCAGGCAGCGTCAACTTGGGACCTTTGGCTTTTCCGTCCACACTCAGGTCAGGAGTCTCTACGACGACGCCGGGGCCCGAAACGCCGATGTCTCCCTTGGGGAGGTTCACCTCCACATCTCCTCCTTCCCCTTTGAAGCTGGGCATGGAGAACTTGGGCATTTTGAATTTAGGCAGCTTGAATTTACCGTCGGGGCTGTCGACGTCAACCTCGGGGGCACCTACATCGAATTGCGGAGCGCCGATATCGACCTCGGGACCTTTCAGTTCACATTCAACTCCCGGCACGTCTACACCTCCTTTGACTTTGGGGCCTTTCAGGTTCAAGTCCACGTCGGGCATGGAGATCTTGGGGGCCTTGATGTGCATCTCGGGCAGCTTGAACTTGGGGCCTTTCAGTTTCCCTTCAGGGCCTTTGATGTCGATGTCCGGGGCCTCAATCTCAACCTTAGGGCCTTCCAGATCAGGTGCAGAAATATCCACGTCCCCCTTCACTTTGGGGCCCTTCA